AGAGACATAGAGATAGAAAGCGAGAAATCACCCCCCAGGGGGGATGGTCACGCCACAATCCCTTCTCCTCCGTTCTCCTCTCGGGATCTTGGGCACGCACGCACACGCGCCTGGCATGAGATTTAAGCCACCCGGTCCGAGACGCAAACCGCGGTCAACTACGTGGGAGTCCAGCGACATAGCCATTACGCTAACTGCTGGTTCCCTCGACCACTGTTTGAGACCTGAACCTAGTGGCTTAAAACTCAAGCCAGGAGGGTGTGCATGCATGCCCAAAATCGGAGAATGGAACAGAAGGGATTGTAGTGCGGCCATCCCCTGTGGAGGGTGATTTTTTGCTTTCTGTCTCTCTTGCACCCTATAGCAAAACAAAAACAAAAACAAAAACAAAAACAAAAACAAAAACAAAAACAAAAAAACTCTCAAAAAAAAAGAGAGAGAAAGAGAGCGTGAGCGTGCGTGCGAAGGGCACATATCTGAAGCCCAGCTTTTGCTTTTGCTTTTTAATACCAATCTAAGATTCTCCTCTATGGCCTGCTGAGTGCCCTCTGCTCTGCACAATCTCCTTCTCCCTGTGACAGATGCCAGAGCTCTGCCTTCGCTGCGGTACCTGGCCACACATACTTTCCCTTGCCTCCCCCTCATTCAGGTGTGTTGTCCTGTTTTCCCTCTTGGCATGGGTCTGTGCTGAACCCGCCATGTACGGGGAGCTCTTGTCCCCTAACTATCCTGAAGCATACCCCAATGAGATAGAGAAATCCTGGGATGTCGAAGTGCCCGAAGGGTTCGGGATCCACCTCTACTTCACCCACCTGGACATGGAGCAGTCCGAGAACTGCACAGGTGACTCAGTGCAGGTAATTACAGATGCAGAGAAAAGCGGAGACGGAAGACCAGGGCAGGGGTGGTGGGATGAGAAGGACGTAGGCGGGAGAGCCCTGGGTACACAGTGGCTGGACTCACATAGTCCCGGGGGAAGAAGAGGGATGTTCTGCTTTTTCTCTCCTCTCCATGCCCCGCCACGACTCCTCTCGCTACTCTCTGACTCCTCTCATAGATAATGTCAGGAGGCATCGAAGAAGGGAAACTCTGCGGGCAGAAGATCCATAAGAATCCCAACACCCACATCCTGGAAGAGTTTAAGTTCCCCTACAAGACACTCCAGGTGACCTTCAAGTCAGGCTTCTCCAATGAAGAGCGCTTTACTGGGTTTGCAGCATACTACGTTGCCATAGGTAAGGCTCCCCATGACGTAGAGGCGTTACTGATCCGGCTAAAAGATTCCAATTAGAAAAAAAAAACACTGAGAAATGCATTGGGTGAAAATTGTGTTTATAACTTTTACCAAGTCGTGCCTGGGCCTGGGTTCCTCCACGAGTCACCTTGGTGAAATTCAAACACAAGACCATGTCTTCGTGGTGACGATGATAATGGTGGTGATGGGTAATGAACAGTAAGTGTTGAGAACCACCATGAATCGCTCAGCGCATTAGCAATTTCACCTGTGTGAACACCATCGCCACCTCAGCCCTTCGAGGGAAGGTATGATCTCCATATAAAGATGCAGAAAGTGAGAACCTGGAGTGTTAAAACTTGTCAAGAATCACACAAGAAATACGTGATATTCAAACTTATTCGCCGTGTGGCGTTCGAGCCTTCCAGTTCTGGGTGCTTCTGTCTCTACCTCTAATTGAAAATGAAGTGAAAACATCTCATAAAGCCAGACTGCTCTTCAGACACGGTAGAGGCACCAGCTTTGTACTGAGTGAGTGTGCTCGTGATTCACACTCATTGTGATGGTCATCCTGCAGAGTGCGGTCTCTGGAGCTGAAATGCTCTCAATGCAAGAGAAACCAAGGGTCCCTGTCATTGAAAGCCCCCTCAGAGCCGTGCCGTGGGAGGGCACACTCCGGAATGATAGACCAGGAGAGTCGTGTAGAATGAGGCCGTACTGAAATGGGCTCGTTGCCCTTCCAGTGTTGGGGTACCCGTTTCTTCTCTGTGCCTGTGGCCTTGACCTCGGTCTTTCTCTTCTCTTGGTAGATGTGAATGAGTGCAAAGAATTTGCAGAAGCTCCTTGTAGCCACTTTTGTAACAATTTCATCGGTGGTTACTTCTGCTCCTGTCCCCCAAAATACTTCCTCCGTGATATGAGAAATTGTGGAGGTGAGTGTGGTGTCAAGATGGGTTTATGTTCCCTGGGCTTGAAGTGGATCGAAGCCTCAAAAAAGGCTTTGTCCATCCTTCCCGTGTTGATGAGGCACAACCTTCACTTGCATCCTATTCTAGCTTACCCCAAAACTGAGGAGGCTGGGAGGAAGCTGAGTCTACAGGAAAAAGTCAGTCAGCTGGGGAAGAGAGACAGACATGTGGCCGTCAGGAGTCGACCTGGGACTGTTCTGAACCATGAATGTCTCCATCACAAACCAAGTGATCGGACCCAGTGGGCTTTCGATCTCTCTACCACATGCACTGCGTGTAGTTGACCCCTGTGGGCTCCAGTCGGAGCTTGGCTCCCAGGCCGGCTCGGATGAGGACTGTCAGTGTCTGAGTGAAGGAACCACAGGCTAGCACAGGAGCTCCTCTGCCTGGGCCTGTATTTGATTCCTCTTTCTCTTTTTCTCCCCCAGTCAATTGCAAGAGAGACAGAAAGTGAGAAATCACCCCCCAGGGGGGATGGCCATGCCGCAATCCCTTCTCCTCCATTCTCCTCTTGGGATCTTGGGCACGCACGCACACATGTCTGGTGTGAGTTTAAGCAACCGGGTCCAGGACTCGAACCGTGGTCGACTACGTGGGAGTCCAGCGACATAGCCATTACACTAACTGCTGGTCCCATGGCCCTGTATTTGATTCCTCTTTCTCTTTTTCTCCCCCAGTCAATTGCAGTGGGGACGTGTTCACTACGATGGTTGGGGAGATTGCAAGTCCCAATTATCCCAACCCATACCCGGAGAACTCAAGGTGTGAATACCAGATCCTGCTGGAGGAGGGCTTCCAAGTGGTGGTGACTATGCGGAGAGAAGATTTTGATGTGGAACCAGCCGATTCAGAGGGGAACTGCCCTGACAGTTTGGTTGTGCGTGAGACATGGTTAATTCCCACCCACCCCAACTCATATGGAATTCTCATTGAAGACAAAATATCTTCCCTTTTTATTTTCCTTTTATTTCTTTTCATTTTACATGACATTCATTATTGCTGTGTATTACATTCATTATCCCCTCTATTTTTACCTCTTTCCTGTAGTCGTTTTTGTGATTTTCTCATTTTGTTTCCCTCCAGTTTGTTGCAGGAGATCAGCAATTTGGTCCTTACTGTGGTAGTGGATTCCCTGGGCCTCTAAGTATTGAAACCCAGAGTAACGCCGTTGGCATCATCTTCCAAACCGACCTGACAGGGCAGAAAAAGGGCTGGAAACTCCGGTACCATGGAGATCGTGAGTAACCTAGAAATGCCTCTTTGATGGGTGATTCCAAAGCCCCTGGTCAACGTGGAGCCAAAGCAGGTGGGTTGTTGTACGGACAGAATCCTCAGATACTCAATTCCTCAGGAAGATCTACGTCTGTCCGTGCTTCTTCCAGTGCTCCAACCTCTAGTAACCCTTCAGCTAGACCCACGGATGCGGTGATTTGGGGGTAATTGTTAATATACTATGTTACATCTGAGACCTGCCATATTGGGATGCTAGGCATCGGGACTGAGGACAACCAAGCGGTTTGGCCAGTATGACAATGATGTAGCTAGAACAGAACCTCCAATGGTTAACTTTTTCCTGTCCCTGCTTTTGTCCTTTCCCAGCAATCCCCTGTCCTAAGGAAGTCACTGCCAATTCTATCTGGGAGCCAGAGAGGGCAAAATATGTGTATAAAGACGTGGTGAAGATTTCCTGCGTGGATGGGTTTGAAGTTGTGGAGGTAAAGTACCATTTGGGTTTCTCCCTAGTCCTGGACCCCCCATCAGGATGAGTATACTGAAATCATTCCACCGCCCAATATATGTGCTTGATCAAGATATGAACACCTTTTCAGGGCCGGCAGGTGGTGTGGTAGTTGAGGATGCTGGATTCCCACATGGCCCACTGTGGTTCGGGTCCCAGACCTGACAGCTTGCTTTCTCACTTTCCCTTTCGCTCTCTCTCTCTGTCTGTCCAGTCAAATAAAAAACTAATGATAACAAATGGAATTAATTAAATAAATCATTCTTTTAAAAAAGGTACTAACACCTTTTCCATAAACAAAACAGCTTGAAATATTTAGTTTTTCTGTGAGTCCTGGACCTCTTTGGATGGTCTGGCCCTCAGTCTTTCTGGCAAAGGGGAGCTGATACGCTGGGGCAGGGCTGCCCTTCAGCCCCTGCACCTGGACGCTTTAGGTCATTTTGCTAAGATGTCCCAAGCTACTTGAGGTGAGGATTTCTTATTGATCTAAGGAGTTGATGAAATACAGTTTGTTTTCTGATTTTCCATATCTCCTTTTTATAAATTAATGGTGATGTCTGTTATTCTCCAGGGAAATGTCCGTTCGGCATCCTTCTATTCCACCTGTCAAAGCAACGGAAAGTGGAGCAATTCCAAACTGGAATGCCAACGTATGTGTCTCTTCAAAGTGCTGCCCTTTTTCTTCCCAATGGAAGTTGAAATATCAGCACATCAAAATTGACATGCATGCTTTCCTCTGAGGCTTCTGGGAGAGAAGGTTGGGCTTTTTTGAAGGCAAGCCGGTCATGGATGCTTTCCTAGTCCCAGCCCTCCTCTGGTCCCAGGCAAGCTAGTGTGGCAAGTTTCTTCCAGGAAAAGTGGTTGTGGGATTGTTGCAGTGAAAAGGCCCATATGGATGATTCCTGGTTTCCACCGAAGCCACCATCAACCACCAACCACGTCAGGTTCTTAGTTGTAGCTGTAAGTGGCCTTCCGAATCGAGAGTCTCGGTATTCTGGAGAGTTACGGTATGCCAGTGGGGGAGACGGTACCGACAGGCTGCTGTGGCCAGATTCATCCCAGGGTGGTTGTGAGGACGAGGTGGGGAAGGACCGAGGCTGGAATCGACCCAGGACTCTTCCTGGGAGGAGACGGCTGTCCCGCCATCAGTATCCTGCCTTTCTCTTGTAGCTGTGGACTGTGGTGCTCCTGAATCCATTCCGAATGGTCAAGTCGAGAATCCAGAAAGTACCTTAGTTGGTTCTGTCACTCACTACATGTGTGAAGAGAAATATTACGCCATGGAAGATGAAAGAGGAGGTGGGTTTCTTCTGCTAGAGAAAAGAGAGAAAAAGTGAGAACACGTTGGAGGGTGAATAGCACCATCTATGGGAGAGGAAGGTGAACCAGTTCACCTTCTTGGCTCAGTTGACAGTTTCCTATGGGACAGGGTGGGTTCTCTGGAATTTTTCATATGGATTCTGAGAGGGCACCAACTTAGCTCCACAGGTACAACAGGAATGTCCTTACAGTGTCCACTTCTTATGGCCGTCCACCTGTGACCAGTTATTTCCTGTAAAACTCACAGACGTAACCACACTGTGATGACTGGATTTCTTGACTTAGAGGCTTGGCAGTGTGGGGTGAAGCTCTGGGAGAGACACAGTCTGTCCCACTACAGTGCCTGCTACTTCACTTTATTTGATCTAATTTTCCCACTAGAGGCACTTTGCTATCTCCACCATAACCCTCTCCTTTTTGCTTTGGAGACTTTCTTCCCCCTCCCTTGGTGGGATGGAAGCCTGAGATATTATTTGGGGAGAACAAGATCTGTGCTCTCTGGTGTGCTCTGGTCTCCCACTCACCTGTGCGGAGCCGAGGCTCTGAGTGACAGGGGATGGAAGAGGGCAGATGCGGGGGTGTGACCTGTGTACCTGTGCCCTTCCAGGGGAGTATCGCTGCTCTGCTAACGGGACCTGGGTGAACGAGGTGCTGGGCACAGAGCTGCCGAAATGTGTTCCAGGTAATCAGGGCACAGGGTGGGCAGAGACCAAGTTCAGGTCACGTGAGTGGAGGTGGGCGCCACCTCTGAGAGTAGCAGGAATCCCCTGGGGAAGGACAGGACAGTGTGGTCCTCCCTGCGTGCATCTCCGTGAGGTGGTGGTGACACTGGGCTGTGGGTCTGCTGAGGTTTGGGGAACTGCCTTACCCGCAGTGAGTCAGGCTGAGAACGGAGATAGGCGAGTCAGCCTGTTCCAGCTGGTGCCGGGGCTGGGGCACCTGGGCCTGGTTCTGGAGATGTAGCAAGGGGGTAAAGGTGTAGTAAGAGCCGAGTTACTACATGAAAAGTCAGCATGGCAGCAAGATGAAGGGGAAGAAAAGACACGAGGGTTGAGGGGATGTCAGAGCAGAGTAGGGGGTGGCACTAGGGCACACGCGTAAACATACCGAGGTCCTGGTAGTGACGACAGGTCATTAGAGCCTTTATTGTCTCATTCACGTCCTCGTAACAGCCCTGCGGTCAGTCATCCCACTCTGCAGCTGAGTGAGTTGAGTGCCAGTTTGCAGAGTTAGGAAGTGGCAGGGACAGTCTTTGACCCCAGGTCTGTCTGAGTCCCAAGTCCTTTAAGCCCGACTCAGGATCCATCCCGGCTGTCCAGTGAGGGCTTAGGTACGCCCACCTCCTCTGGGAGTCGGTTATCCTGGGAACTGGCAAAGCGGTCACTCCTGTGACCAGTGGAGGGGAGTGAGAATCAAGGCCAAAGAAAGGAACCCCCTCCGTACTCCCTAGACTGACCTGTGGGTTTCTGAGAGGACTGAGGAGTTAACAGGATTTCAGATAAGATGATCTGGGCGCAGAAGGAGGCACAGAAGGAGGCTCCTCCACCTTCTTTGTAGGGAATGTTTCCCTGTCTGGTCATGGGCCTCATGTGCTGAGCCTCAGGGGGTTGCCTCTAGTGGGGCTCTGGGTCATTCTAGGGGTAATGTGAGACACTAGGTCATTCAGACTCAGAGATTCACACACTGTCTCCATTTAACCAACCTTTCCCACCAACTTGCTGCAGATATGGAAAGTGGGGTCTTTGTCCAGCCAGGTCGAGTCAGGTATCGAGTTGCCTGTAGGGTGCTGGACACTGCCAGAGCCCAGCAGGTGAAGTATCTGAGTGGGTGGAGGGTCTGCAAAAGCTTGCGTTGCTTCTTGCTTCTTCCATCTGTTCTTCCTCCTTCCTAGTTTGTGGAGTCCCCAGTGAGCTCTTTGTAGTGATACAGAGAATATTCGGAGGGACCACGGCAAAGATTGAAAACTTCCCCTGGCAAGTCTTCTTTTCCAACCCACGGGCTGGTGGGGCCCTCATTGATGAGCACTGGGTGCTGACGGCCGCTCATGTTGTGGAGGGAAACCATGATCCAAAGATGTACGTTGGATCCTCTTCGGTGCAGTCCTCGAAGCTGCTCAAAGCCCAGATGCTCACTGCCGAGCGTGTGTTCATTCATCCGGGCTGGCAAGTGCTGGATAATACAGACATAAGGACGAATTTTGACAATGACATTGCGCTGGTGCAACTGAAAGAGCCAGTGAAAATGGGACCCAGCGTCTCTCCCATCTGCCTGCCAGGCTCCTCCTCAGAATACAGCCCTTCAGTGGGTACCTTAGGAATAATCTCAGGCTGGGGCAAATCAGAGCTTAGAGACATTGTTATTAAGCTCAGAGCAGCCAAGTTACCTGTAGCTCCTTTAGCAAAGTGCCAAGAGTGGAAAGGGAAAGATTCCAGAGTGGATGTAAGTAGCTTTGTTTTTACTCATAACATGATCTGTGCTGGCGGAGAGAAGGGTGTTGATAGCTGTCAAGGGGACGCTGGTGGGGCTTTTGCTGTACAGGACCCCAATGAAGAGGACCCCAAATATTATGCAGCTGGCCTGATGTCCTTTGGATTTCAGTGTGGGACCTACGGGATCTACACACGGGTACAGAATTATGTTGACTGGATAAGGAAGACTATGCAGGACAATGGTAGCCCCAGTAAGGACTAACTCATACACATGCCTTGGGCTGTCTAAGGGGTAGCACCAGCCCACCGCTGTCGGTTCCTCACTGTACGTTCATTATTTCACCATGGCTGAGAGAAGATCTGGGGTTGATTGTCCAAACACCTGACTGGAGGTGGAGTCTGACCATCGAACTATGTTGGTCTTTCAGTCGTGGATTGAATCTGTGGGGTCCTCTCCCCTGTAGTCCTACCTGTTATAGATAATAGCACAGAGGGGACTCAGATCTTGTGTGCTCTTCCCCAAGGACACTTTAATTTTTTGTTTCCTCTTTATTTGTTCAAATTCCTTATGCTTTATCATTCTCAGTGTTCATTATCATAATAAAGCTTGTTCATAAGTCAGTTCTCTCCAACTTCCCTTACTGCACACCAAGATCTCAGTACCATACAAGGTCACTGAGGAAGAAGGCTATTGAGTCAGGGGTCTGGGCATCTAGCAACTAGTAGTTAATTGTCATGGAAACAGGGAATTCTGCTTCTCTCTGCCAACTGAGATGAACTAAATGTTGTTGATTCACATGAAAGCACCAACACAATGCACCATCTTCTACTTTTGAAACTCATTAAACACGTAGAAATCTTATTCAGAAGTTCACATGCAACAGTTAGAATTGCCTCTAAGATCCTTTTTTCAATTGACAGAGGATGTGTGTACCATTAGAGAGACAGAATGAGAAGGGGAGAGAGAGAGAGAGAGAGAGAGAGAACCCCATAGGGGGTGTGGCCATGCCATAATTTCTGCAGCCAGTCAGGATTTTGGGTATGCACACACATGCACCTGGCTTTTTTATTTTTTATTTTTTCCAGTTTGTTGCAGTCCTTTCTCTTATATTCTTCTCAGGATTCTGGGCACACACGCACATGTACACAGCATGTTTTTCAGGCCATTGGGTCTAATAGACTAAAATTGCTCAGTTGGCCTTGTGGGATCCAGCTGCTTTACCACCAGAAGACCTGGTTGGCCCAACCCAACATTTTTTTTTTTTGAGACTTTTTTACTCCAGGGCATGTGCACTCACCAGACAGACAGAGAGAGACAAAGAGACAGAAAGTGAGAAATCACTCCCCAGGGGGGATGGTCACGCCGCAATCCCTTCTCCTCCATTCTCCTCTTGGGATCTTGGGCATGCACGCACACGCGCCCAGCATGAGTTTAAGCCACTGGGTCCAGGACTCAAACCGCAGTTGACTACATGGAAATCCAGCGACATAGCCATTATGCCAACTGCTGGTCCCCTGACATTATTTTTCAAGTCATTGTGGCTGGGATCCAAACTGCAGTTGGCCACGTGTGATCTGGCTGCCTCAACCACTAGGCTATGGAGCTAACCTTGTTGAAGATCTTTCAGTATTGGTTCACTCCTGGGGACCTGGGGAGTGGAAGTGCTGGGCCCTGCTGGGGAGTGGGGAGGAGAACCACAGATGCCGGGACAGGACCGCCACCACCGCCATGTGTGACCAGCAAATAGACTGTGCCTTGGACCTAACGAGGCTCCTGCCTCCACAGCAGATCAAGAACCTCAGCCACCTGATCGCCCTGGTCCCCAGTCTGTGTGAAGATCTCCTGCCTTTTGTTCACCAGCCACTGAAGACTGCCGGAGACAAAGGTGGGAAAGGATTACGTTTTTTGTGACTGCAACAGAGACAGAGACTCCTATAGGTCACCATGGAGTAATAAGTACGACTCGCCTTTGGAAGATGGGGGCGTGCCATCTGCTTGGCTGAGAAAGCTGGAGGTCGAAGCCAACAATGCCTTTGACCATTACCAAGACCTGCATTATTTATTTATTTATTTAGAGACGTTTTTGCCATAGGGCACATGTGCTTGCCAGAAAGACAGAGAGAGACAGAGAGACAGAAAGAAATCACCCCCCCGCCCCCAGTGGGGATGGCCATGCCCCAATCCCTTCTCCTCCATTCTCCTCTCGGGATCTTGGGCATGCACACACACACGCCTGGTGTGAGTTTAAGCCACCAGATCTGGGGCTCAAACTGCGGTCAACTACATGGGAGTCCAGCAACATGGCCATTATGCCAACCGCTGGTTCTAAGACCTGTATTTTGAAAGTGGTGTCTCATCTATCTACTCTGGGATCTGGATCATGGCTTTGCTGGAATGATCCTTATCAAGAAGGCTGGAGATGGATCAAAGAATAAGAAAGGTTGCCAGGATTCCATCCACATGGTGGAACTGCAGGAGAAATCCAGTGGTCGCACCGCCATTACAAGTTGACCTCCATGGAGATGCTGTGGCTGCAAACCAACAAGTTAGGCTCTGGCAACGAACCTTGGAGGCAGCCTTACCAGACAGATGGAGAAGGACGGAACTGGGAGCGACTGCTCCCCACACATAGCCAACACCGGGCGCCCCGTAGAGGACATGGAGAATAAAATCAGAAGTACGCTGAATGAGATCTACTTTGGAAAAACCAAGGACATCGTCAACAGGCTGAAGGCTATGCAGACTTTTGCAAACAAATCAAAACAAGAAGCTCTTAAGAAAAACCTGGTGGGAACCAGCAGTTAGTGTAATGGCTATGTCGCTGGACTCCCACGTAGTCAACCGCGGTTCGCGACCCGGATCCGGTGACTTAGAACTCACGCTGGGCGCATGTGCGTGCGTGCCCAAGATCCTGAGAGGAGAATGGAGGAGAAGGGATTGTGGCGTGACCATCCCCCCTGGGGGGTGATTTCTCGCTTTCTGTCTCTATGTCTCTCTCTGTCTGGTGAGCGCATGCGTCCTATAGCAAAAAAAACCTCCAAAAAAAAAAAAAAAAAGACTACAAAAAAGAAAAACCTGGTGGATTAAATTACATGAGACTGAACTGGTGAAATAGAGTGTTCTGACTTTAGACTAAAACATTATTGCTTTTCTTGGCTGCTTTGATTTCCATATTTAAAGATGTTCGTCTTCTCTTGAACAGCGGATAGGTTCATCTACCTACTATTTGAACTGAATCCTAACCTTTTTCCTGGCTTTAAGTTTAAAGCAAATTTTCCTTAACAGTTTTTGATTTTGGTCTATTAAAACTAAAGCTGTTCGGGACCAGCAGTTAGCGTAATGGCTATGTCGCTGGACTCCCATGTAGCCGACCATGGTTCGAGTCTCGGACCTTGTGGCTTAAACTCACGCCAGGCGCGTGTGCGTGCGTGCCCAAGATCCTGAGAGGAGAATGGAGGAGAAGGGATTGTGGCGTGGCCATCCCCTCTGGGGGATGGTTTCTCGCTTTCTGTCTCTCTGTCTCTCTCTGTCTTTCTGGCGAGCGCACCTGCCCTGTAGCAAAAATCTCTCTTAAAAAAATAAAACAAGAAAACAAACAAACAAAAAACTAAAGCTGTTTTTTCTTTAAATTAAAAAATTCATTAAAAATACCTATTAATACCTATTTAATGACTGCAGTAAGCTATATAGCCCTAGCTAGATGCTACTGTATACTATGTTCACTTTACTTACTGAGGTTTACGCCTAAAATCAGACATGTGTTCATAGATATGTATATGTTAGCTGTGCTTGCTATTGAAAGTTTTTAAATTAATTGAGATCTTTATATAAGATCAAAATATATAAGGACCAAGAAATAGAAAATTATTTGTTGATGATGACATGTATGGTAATATCCCTGATTGAGCTAATATACAAGGTATTCTGGATGGAAAAATCTCATTTTGTATACTGTATTGATGTGCAGTGAGTGACTGTAATGAATTAAAAAGTACAAAAAATGATAAATATGCTAATAGTTCTTGGTAAATCTCAAAGGAGAAATTGCATAGTTTCACCCAAAGACTCAGAGGAGCATGGTGTTCAAATTTATATTGCATGGGTAGGATAAGGGGTAAGAAAAAGCAGTAATTTAAAAATTAAAACAGGAGGCCAGCAGGTGGCATTGTGGTTAAGGGCACTGGACTCCCACATGGCCAACCATGGTTTGAATTCAGTACCTGGCTGTTTGCTTTCTCTCATCCTATCTCTCTTTCTCTCTCTCTCACTCTGTCCCTCTCTAGTCAAATAAAAATAAGTAAATAAAAAGAGAAAGTTAAATAAAAAATAATTCTACTTTATAAAACGA